TGTATATAGTTAGGATGATTGACAGCCTGATGTAGTTTCTGGTATTCTTTTTTAAATAATATAGAATGAAACGCTTTTTTGAAAAGTGATAGGTAGATATCTTAAAAGTTTTTCAGTTCACCTTCCTACCAAATGGAGGAATTTATTCTACACTATAGTTTAAATATTCACATTACACATGTCTATGAGAGGAAACCACTGGTTAACTACTTTTGATGACATTCTTACCCTGCACAAATACTCTTTCTTCCAATTAACTCTATTAACTTCTTTTAATACTCCTTGTCTTTATCCTACTTAAGTTTTCACTATTTGAAAATTAAATTCATTTTCCCCTAAGTGTTTTTTTCTTATGAAATATATACGATGTTTCAGACTCATCTCATGAAAGACAATCATCATGCTTTATGTTTCCTCTGAACGGCCCCTTGCCTGTTATCTTTTCTTCAAAGTGTTGTGTCTTGATATATGTTCAAAACTCAGGTCTGATTTAATATAATTCAAGCACAGGAGACTACTACCATTAAATAAATTAAATTATTTTAAATTATTTTATTTCATGCTTGTAGTTTCTTTAATTTATTCACATTACACTCTTGTTTTATTTGCTTGCCTTACAAGATTATCCTGAAATGGGATATTATTTGAAATGCACCTAGCAACTATTAGGCACACAACTGTTTTTCAATTAAATTTATAGTCACTTTGGTTCAATTTAGGGAGTCATTTTAGATTAACTTAAGTTCATTTCATGAGTTGAAGAGATTTTTTAAAATGTCTCTTTTGTATAGGATTTTAATGACCTTCTAATTATGTTATTTGAGCATTTGCATTATTTTATTTTGACATTTTATTTGGTAAGAAGAAAGTTCACTGAAGGTGAAATGCATTGTGCTCATTTTACTGGCAAAACTTCTTTGTCAACTATTGGTGATATCCTTTCTTTATCATTTTCATGCAGGGAATGTTATCAAGAGATTTTGAATTATATTAACTTTTGGTACACATTTACATTATGCCAGACTTCATTATTCCAGGAGCAATTTTAAAGTATAAATATTTTTTTGTATTCATGTTTGATTATTCATTCATCCATATAACTTTTTTCCATTTATCTTTTAACCTTAAAATGGATCCACATAGTTATACATACATATAATCCTTTCATATATCTGAAAAAAGTAAACAATGTATTTATAATATAAACACATATATTATGTATAAACACATTATATGTAGTTCATTTTTCTTTTCAGTTATTGAAAATAACAATTGGTACACTTTAAATTTATGCTCCATTTATTTTGAGACATTGCTACCTAAAGTTTTTGTTAAAAATTACCATATTTATTTTCTGAACACTTCAAATGTATTTCCTAATATCTTGTATATATCAATTACTTAGATAATGTGGACCTACTTTGCTTCTTCCTAAGAACTGTCATCTCCCAGATTAACCTTGACCTTGACTGCAACAATTGTATCTAGTGGCAGGACACAGTGAACAGTTCAAACAAATACTCTTATTTTCTCCTATATTCAGTTCTGGAATCTTGAGGAACTGAACTGAGCCATATAGAAACTTGTAGACCATTGTTTTATCTTTCCTCCACTGAACTATTGAACAGAGCCAGGTCCGCATAGCATACTTTTCAGAACTATATTCTGTGTCTATTTACTCTTCGTCTCATCTCACCACATCAGCCACAGAGAATCCAAGATACAGACAACAAAAATTCACTATCACTTTCTCCTCAAAAGTCTCCATGGTCCACTATGGCTATTCCATCACATTAATTAAGTGATTTATTTAATTAATCTTTAACTGTTCCTAGAAATTCTCCTTCCTGGTAGGATTGGTGATGAAGAAAATGGTAGGGGTCAGGGGGCAAGTTTTACCTGGTGTTTTAAGTGAGGAAGTCAAGTCTAGGTCATGCGAAGAGTACTAATAAATTTTGAAAAATTTCTCCACTATTTTTTCTTCTAAATTTTTCCTCTTTCAGTAATAATATGACACATAGGTTTCAGTTAAGTATTTAATACCATATGTAATCAAAAGCTAGCAAAATAATTTTTAGTATCTTCTGACTATACCACACTAAATAATTTAATCTGTGTATGCTTTTTGTCTGTATGTTCTAACTACTAATTGGCTCTATATTTTCATTTACACAAAGATAAAACACATGCCATCAGTAAGTCAATAATAAAACATTTCACTTGACTATTGCTGACATATCACTTCTAAACTTCAATCTCTGAAAGCATGAGTGGTGCATTTAAGTTAAAATTTACACTGTTAGCCAATATACTATAGAAGGAATTCTAACTATAATAAAAATGATGGCAGTCAATACGTTCTTAGGTTAAAAGAATATAAGAGCAGGTTATCTGGCATATACACTTGATTAAATATGGTTTGCCATATATTTTAGATACTTTATATCCAATGTAATTTATATCATCACTCTGTTCCTTAATCTTTAGAAATTTAAAAACAAATCCTTTTGAAGAAAGAAAATAATCAAACCTTTTGAATCTGTTTTATCTTAGGATTTAATGCAATCACTAATGCCAATTTTTATGTAAAAGTTCTATAATATAAAGCTTTAGGGAATTTTTAAATTATATATAATAGAGATCCATGGATTTCAAGCATTTTTTACTATGATTCAGAATAAGGAATGCATATCAGTCTTGTAAAACACAAATGCATTTATACAATTTAAACTATTGAAATAAAAGTTCAAGAAACAAGAGAAATTCTATCTGTCCACAATTTATTCTAATATGTTGCATCCAGTGCCCTGGCAATCCATTTCTATTCTATCCTATTTTATTCTGTCCTATTCTGTTTATTTTCTATTCAGTTCCTGCATATTATGCTGAGAATAACACTACTCTATTTTTCAACTTACTAATGAGACTAAACTACTAATAACCAGTAATTTAGAAAACATTATCTTATTAAAATAAATATATTTGAATTACATGAAGACATTACTTATTTAGGATATTATTACATAGTGATATGAACACTTCCAATCATCAAGGAAAGAACTCTAAGTCATGACTAGAATATGATAGGAGTCACACAAGTCAAGTTCAACATCTTAGGTAACTTAAGATACTGGCAGAAGCATTAGATGTACTACATAGTCATAATTCAGGTACGAACCAGCTGTCCAAGTTCAATATACTCAGTGTTATTCATACATGCTAAAATCCTCATGAAATATATGTCCTTTTTCCTTTATGAACTGTCTTTTTTTCTCCTGTTCTTCCAGCCTATTCCAGTTCACCCTCAACAAGCACAGAGCATTTCAGAAAATGTATGTTTTGCTCTTTGAAAAGATGACTGAAACTAATCTAAAAGCTTACAGAGCAGTTGATAACACTTTCACTACGGCACAGTGTTCAAAGAGCTCAACTTTTAAATTCCAAGTTTACTTCAGAAATACATTTATAGTTTATCTTTATTGAAAATGTTAGAAGGACATTGGTTATGTCCTGAAAGTGTTTAGAGCTTCTAAATTCTGACTGACCATTGTGTATTCAGACAGTATGGACTCATCAAGCTCACAGACAGATCTATTTGCTTAGAATAATAGAGTTGGCTTTGCACTGGCATTTCTATCAATAAAAGCATCATAAACTGTTATTGAAAATGATGTTTTACATGAATATTATTAAAATGGACAATTTGACAGCTAATACACGCTCACAATAGGTACTCAATGACTACTGTCAAATATAAATGATTTTTCATAAGGTTTGTATTTTCTCCAATATCCATAGTTGGAAACTCAATTAAAACTGTAGAAGTCTCTTTTGTATTCATTTGCATCATATTTTGACAGCAGCTTTTCAATGGGTAATAAAGTTGCTATTTTTAAATACTTTTCAACAAATAATGTTAGCATATATTCCATAACAAATGGCTATATAAATAAAAACAAGTATTAGCAAATAACAAACAAAACATAAATTGTCTTTACCTGCATATATTCTAATTAAAAAATCAAATGTCAGAGTTTGTGTCTTCCTCATTTGCCATAGTATAACTAAATTTTGTTTAGATATAATCCTAAATAGCCTTTAACTTATGATCACGATTTTTGACTTATGGGTCATTTGTCCAAGAGAACTTACATATGTAAGTTGTCTTTTTGCAGTAAATTTAGAAATAATTGATTGCAATAGACCAGTTTATCATATTATCATTACTCTTACTGACATTTTAGAAAGTAATATTTTAAAAATGAAATAACAATTCCTTTGACAATACTCTTCTTTTAATTTATTATTTATCAAGTTAATTTGCTTAAAATTGTATCTCAAAGTTAAGAATTAAATATTCAACAGAGATTTTAAATAATAACAGAATTAATTTCAAGAGAAAATAATTATATTCTGGTAATTGTTAACTAACTTTTTTATTATGTCAGTGCAAATTAAAGATATTTTGATTATCCTATCTAGATAGAATTCTTTGGTAATCTATTCATTCCTAATAGTAGTATAAGTAGAAGATACTAAAGTGATGTTTCTACTATGATCAATATGCCCATAATTTTAAAAGTCAATAGTATGTAGTATTTTGATAGAGAAAATAACCCACTTTCACATGCCAGTATTGAATGAATTTTTAATGAGATCAAAGTTCTCTAGTTTTAAATTAAGATTTTTAAGATTTGTATTGAAGAATAATTTGCAAAGTCATAGGTCACTTTACCTAGATAAATGCCGCAAACTGAATTGTTATCAGTCCCAGGTCAAAAAAGCAGAAAATCACCACCCCTAAAGCTCCCGTCATGCTTTCTTCCAGAATCATCCATCAGAGCTTGTGAGCACCCTGCCAAAGGTAACCACTATCTCCATTTCTGACACTAGATAATCAGTTTTATTCATGTCCTAAGATCTAATCTGTCTTCCAATGGAAGCTTTTAAAATGTTTTTACACCTGTGTGGACAATCAAATGTTATTTGTCTTTGAATAGGTCCAAAGTGGTACCCCTCTCGAATCGGACTGCAGCTAGAACGTGGTAAGAACCAACTTCACTGATCTTTTTTTAATTTAGAATCCCTTTTATGTCATAAATAGCTAATATTTACTTATTACTTCCTAAATGGCAGACATTGTAATAAATGCCTTAAATATATTATCTCATTTGATCGTCCCAACAAGCTAGTGCTCCTCTTTTGTGAGTGGTAAATTTTAGTCTCAAAGAGATAATTTTCACAGATTTACTGTCAGTGTGTACTGGAGGCAGGATGTGAACTAACATCTTCCTGTCTCTAAAGATTTTACTGCTACATTCCTTCATTCCACTGAGTCCTAATTTATTCTCATTGATACAGCCTATCTCCATTTCCTTTTTTTTTTTTCTGTTTAAAGGCAGAATAAGGGAGGTAAGGAGGAGCAGAAATAAATGAATTATAGGGAGAAGTATTATATCCATTAATAAACCTTAAGTTTTTTAAAGTGTCAAACTCTATTCTCCATTCAAAAACAATTTTAAATAGACACACTTAAAAATGAGTCCTGCTAAGAATCTTATTATTGACATTGCATCAACTTGACCTTAAATTTGGACTTGTTAAATAAAAGCTGTGGGTAAAATGTAAATTGTGGAAGGCTATTCAGTTCGTGTTCCTAACTGTAAATCTATAAGAAGCATCTGTGAAGGAATTTCAGTCTCTAAATTTTTCCATATAGTCGTGAACTGCATTTTATTTTTCTGGTGCTTTTGCTAATATTCAGGCTATTTCTCAAATATCACATTCACTTAAGGACAAATGATGATCTTCTTGGATCTAAGATGTTGTGCTGTTTTCATTGCTATCTTAAACAGTCCATCTTTCTCTGAGATCTCTATGCTGAAAAGACAGGAATCCATGGCATTCTTGTAAGTCACACTTTGTTGATGGTGTCAAATTCTTCCAAGCTCGAGTGTTCAAGATAAATTCCTATCTTACTAGTGTTTAAAGAAGAAGAATCATTGTCTTGTTTATTTTTGCCTCTGCAGGGCATAGTATGTGCCAGGCACATAAATGCCTTTCAACACATGGATGTTGAAAAAACATAAAGTGAAATAGTGGTACTGTTTTCTGAACTTGACTCTTACAATACCGAAAACAGAATGCCACAGGCATCGATGTTAAGTGAAATCTCAATTTGAAGGACACTATTAGAGACTGGGGAATTTCTGTTAGTTTAACCTTTCCAGTGAATGTGACTATTTACTATCCCCTTATATTTATATACCTGGTTTGAGTGTACCAGGAAGTGGTCTGAATAAAGTATAGACCTCTAAGTGTCCTTGGATAGGAATGTGACGACATATTTGAAAAGAAGAACCAATTAATTTAGTAAGATAAGCAGGATATGGTGCAAAGAAGAGGTTATTTGGAGTAACTCAGAATTTTAAATGTGACTCTTCTACCTATTTATCCATAGGGTCTTCTTTTGTAAAGTAGAGCTAATAAAGACTAACTTATGGTGGCTTTTTGGAGTTATAAGTATTAAGTAAGATTATGTTTGTAAAGCACTATAATAATTTGTCATGGTAGATGCTTCATTAATCATAGTTATAACTATTAACATTAAGGCAAAAAAGACGGCAGCAAGACAGAGCAAGATATTTACATCTATTTGCTGCCAGGATGTATTTGCCAGAATGATTGTACTATGAGCAATGATATCATGTGAATTTTGAGCCTTTTAAAGTTCCGTCACACAAGACATTGCTGAAACATAAATAAAAGAGGAAGCCTATTTTTATGGGAAAAATAGCAAACACTTATTTGGCTAAGTGGTTCTGCTGAGCTGGGCTAGACTTGGCCTTACCTGGCTAGGCTCACTCATACAGCTACAGTTGCTGGTGGATTGCTGAGGACTGACTGTTGTAAGGTGGTCACAACTGCAGCCACTCTTTTCTGCCCTATGCGGTCTCTCATGTTTCAGCAGAATGTTCTGAACTTGTTCTCATGGTGGGATCAGAGGTACAGATAAGTGAGCACAAACACTCAAGAATTCTTGAGGTCCAGGCTTAGAAATGACATATGATCCCTTTCCCCACATTCTCTTTGCCAAAGCAAGACACTAGGCTAGCTACATTCAAGGGGTGGAGAAATAGACACCAACTCAATAGAAGGAACTATAAGCCATATTGTAAACGGTGTTGATATGGTAATGGTGAAAAATTGCAGCCATCATTGCAATAAATATGTCATACAAACTGGCAAC